CTGCGCAGAGGCTGCTGGAGGGTGTGAACTATATGGCTCAGTCTGTTTCAGAGCTAAGTGTCAAGCCTGCCAAAGCCGTCACTGCCTGGTTAACAGACCAGATTGCCCCTGTTTACTGGAAGCCCAATTCTCTATATAGTGAGAGAGAGAGACATTGCCCTAAAGGGTTCTGAGATGTCCCTGAGCAACATTTAAGCATGTAAAATTATTTTTATATTTTAACACCCAAAGAAAGTTCTTTTTTTTTTTTTACAATTGAGTAATTTGCATACACTTTGAGAACTGGTTTGTGTGAATCATTTAAAAGAACTGGTTCAATGGAGTTATTTGTATGGCTCCACACAGGTGGCTAAACTAGTGATTAGATGTTTGATTATACTAGTTTTGACTGTTCTGAATGACATATTTAAACAAATGTGAATTTTTTTTTTAGCTCTGGCTGTAAAAACAGCATGAATCACCTACGAGAAGGTGTGGCACATGAGGCTAAACACCGCTGCCGCTATTCAGCGCACTATGATAATCGCATCTATACCTGCAAGGTAGGTCGTAAACAATGCAGCACGTGACCTGACCCTAAAGGCTACACGAGCTTTGTGTACTGCCCAGGTCTGACATTATGTGTGTTAACCTGCTATTCCAGGTTTGTTATGTAGTGTCACATGACACTAAAGACTGCTCAAAAGCATTATTATTCACGTTAAAAACAGTTTGATAAAATCTTGGATGAATAGAAAGTTCAAAAGAATGTTTATTTAAAATCTTTTGAAACATTATCAATGTCGTATCAACAACGTTTGAGTGAAAGAAGGGCATATGGCATTAGAACACCACCAGGGTCAGTAAATCATGACAATGTAAATTTTTGGCTGAACTATCCTTTAAATGCATCCTTGCTTAATAAAATTATCTTAAATCTTACTGGTACCAAACTTTTGCATAGTAGTGTTATACAGTACTGTAGGGCTGTCTGCCACTAACGACTATTTTTATTTAGATTAATGTCATGCTGCGCAGAGGCTGCTGGATGGTGTGAACTATATGGCTCAGTCTGTTTCAGAGCTAAGTGTCAAGCCTGCCAAAGCCATCACTGCCTGGTTAACAGACCAGATTGCCCCCGTTTACTGGAAGCCCAATTCTCTCATCATTGTGAGTTTTAATGCTAGGTAATTTTAATGTGCCTTTTGAATGAAGAGAAGTCTTCACTAAAACACTAAAACTTTTTCCAGAGATGTAAAAACTGTGGAGAGGAATTCCAAGATAATGATACAAAGCCCCACTGTCGGGCCTGTGGAGAAGGTTTCTGTGATGGTTGCTCCTCTAAGACACGGCCAGTCCCTGAGAGAGGTTGGGGCCTGGCACCTGTGCGAGTCTGTGATGCCTGCTTTCAAAACAGAGGAATCCCAGAAGGTATCGCCGAAGAATTTAAGATTTTAAGTAACATTTTATTTTAATATATTAAAATTACTCATGTGATGGCAAAACTGAATTTTCAGCAGCCATTACGGTCTTTAGTGTCACATGACACTAAAGACTGCTCAAAAGCATTATTATTCATGTTAAAAACAGTTTGATCAAATCTTGGATGAATAGAAAGTTCAAAAGAATGTTTATTTAAAATCTTTTGAAACATTATCAATGTCTTTACTGTCACGTTTGAGTGAAAGAAGGGCATATGGCATTAGAACACCACCAGGGTCAGTAAATCATGACAATTTAAATTTTTGGCTGAACTATCCTTTTAATGCATCCTTGCTTAATAAAATTATCTTAAATTTTACTGGTACCAAACTTTTGCATAGTAGTGTTATACAGTACTGTAGGGCTGTCTGCCACTAATGACTATTTTTATTTAGATTAATCTGTCGACTAATTTATCGATGAATCGATTAATCTAAACAATTAATTTCCCACCAAAAAAATCAACAATTTTACTTAAGAATATTTTATTCAACTATATTTCATTAAACCAAATGAAATCCAAAAGTAAAAAAGTAAAGTGCAACAAAGTGCAAGAAGCAAGTGTCCATCTCATAGTCCAAATCACTGAAATCAAAGTTCAGTATTATAGTGTAAGAATGACAACATATCCACATGTTCTAGTCTACTAATAATAAAATTATAATCAAAAAACACTTTTTAAAGGAGTATTTACCAGAAATATTATTTACCAGAATTTATTTAGGAGAAAAATTTAAATGTGCAGTATTCCTGAAAAAAAAAATTTTTTTTTTAAATAAAATAAATTAATTGGAGATGCTTTTGATTATTAAAATTTAATGGAACCATTAAAATGGAATCCAAAAAATAATGGAAAACAGAATTTGGTAAAGATAAAACTGTAAAACTCAATTAATTAGACAGGCTTTTGATTAATAAAATGTTATTTAACCATTAAAAGAGAGTATAGAAAAATTAAAATGGAAAAAAATGAATTTGGAAATAAAACGGATTTCATAGTGCCCTATAATTATAATAAATTTTTTTGTGGTATT